ATAATATTGTACAAAAGGTCACAGCAAAAATTCCACAGGATGCCAACTTTTTTATCAAAGGTAATAAATCGAAACGAACGTTTCACATAAATTTCACTCATAAAATTATACGACTCACTCGTAGCCCCAATTTTCATCACTTTCACAAATGTTATATCTTTCAAAATGCTACTTTCGCAACCAATAACATATGCAGCCATGAACCTCATTTCATCACAAGCTCAATACTCTCTGCAACACGTGTAAACAATATTTGAATGAAATTCTTCACTAATTTCCAACTTCCGGAGTAAAATACAATAAGAGCTACTTTCAACCGGACATTAAATGACTATACACACGTCATTCTACCTTGAGAGGGCAACATGAAAATCGAATTTCAAGGCTAATTGCCTCTTGTAGATACAATCAGTATGCTGAAAAGAATAACTCGATGTAATCGAATACCTCTTTAATACGAGACGGCTGTCCAGGTCTGGTAATTAACGCAATGCCATTGCAAATGACAGCAGTATCCTCGACAAATCCGCAAAGAGGCAGAGCCTCATCTGGTGGTAGTTCTACCACATCAATACCGGTGTCTCGAAGAGCTCTGACGAAGCATTCGTGTTGAAATTTAGCTCTTGGGTAGTCACTTTGGACGTCATTTCCGTACGTTTTCGGTATTCGACAGACTACAGCGTGGGTGTACTTCAGAGTGGACATAATGAGCTGAAAGAACACCACTTTTGGCATCACAAATGAAATATAAAACGAGTGTAGAAAATAGATACTTACCAGATATCAAATTTTCAGAGCTGCACCATAAAACGACCGCAAACTAGCACTTGTACGAGAGTCGAGACCAAATGGAAATGGATACTTGCTATGGCTTACCAGAAAGCGTTCAAATGATAACGTAACGTAACGCATGAACGCTACGCACACACCAAACTGAAACGGAAACTAAACTAAACCCAAAACGGCAAAACCCAAGCAACTGCTAGCTACACTCCACTATATTTCGCCGTCTGCACCCCCACTTTTTGCGGTTTCAACGACAAAATTATGCAATCTGTCTCTTTTTCTCTTGTACCAAACACCAATCTGTCAAAGTTTAATGGCAGATTGATGGGTTTTTTTATGACTTAGTCGAGGGGTCAGTGGGAGGGGGCATATTTTTTT